ACGTAGTGTGTGCTGCATTCTGCACACACACACACACACACACACACACACACACACACACACCTCATGGCTGCGGAAAGGTAAGAAAGAAAAAAATGAATAAAATTGAGCACATTATCAAGCTGTTTCCACATGTCGATTATATTTGAGCATGTTTCCACATATCTATCTTATAATCTTTTTTTATATTGTTTTCTTATTCTGCTTTTTAATTCAATTTTTATGCTTCTTCTATTTCTGTTAAGCACATTGAATGACCTCTGTGTATGATAATGTGCTATACAAATAAATTTGTTTCATAGGCGTGCTATCACAAGATGTTTTTATTGTACTCAAATGTGGGGCTTGACCTGATTTTGTAAAGCATTTACAGTTAATTAAAAACTATGAGAAAATGTTACGTTTTCTGCACATTTTCCACATCTTTATTAAGTTATTTGGTAATATTTGTCATGCATTTTGTTTGAATGTGATATTGATTTAAAGGCAATTTCTCCACGTCGCATCACCACAGAGCTAAACTATCTGAAAAATGTAAGTAATGTTGATTGCAATGAAAAACCCCATCCCTGGACATTCAGATTTTCTTGTTAATGATAATAATAATAATAATAATAGAAGAATAATCTCAGAAAAACTCAAAATACTTTGAATTCTAATCAACAAAAAAGGTCACTTAGGCTCATAAAACAAACCGTTTCACCCCGGGGGACAGACATATCAGCCGACATCGGTCTCCAGGGCACAGAGGAGGTGCTGGAAAGTGGATCAGAGTGAAGAGCTGCTTCATCCGAAGGGAACAGTAAAGTAAATTACTGTCCACTCCAAGATGACTGAAAACAGAAGGGGGATTGGACCGTGATCTCATTAGGAAAATTAAATGCCTAGGTAACTTGAAGGGAGCTCAGAGACAGCAGTCCTCCGTCAAGGCCAATGTCAAACAACATACACCAGACTTCAGACAAAAAAAAAAATTCAAATTCGTATTAAATTAGAATAAATAGATTTGGGTTCGTCCCTGGCTCATGCCACATCACTCCACCGAGTTAGGTACTTTTTGTGTGATCAAAACAGACAGGTGAGAGCATAACATAAGGTAATAATAGATGTGACAGAACAGAGCATAAAATCATGAGCCAAAATGGCGTTGGCCTACAAAATCTTGGGTGTCACAGACTTTTTTACACTGTGTGTGTAAAATGTGAGAGTCACAATAATGAGCTATTGGTAAATGGCATGTGGCATGACAACAGACACACGAAAGAAGACAGAAATCAATACAAAAGAGCCCAAAGCCCTCCTCTGTTGTTCACTGACCCCATATCACTTTACCCCGAAGGCCTCCATTCGCAAAGGCTTTAAAGTTCCCATTAAGCACAACAGAGCCCACGGTATACTCACTGCAAAGACACCACATAAACTCAGAATAATGGGCAGTAACATGCAATTACATTTACTTTATGCTCTTTCCCAGACAGTAGCGGAGCTGTAGCAGCCTGACACAGAGATACAAACACTGTTGACTGTGTGTCTTCTCTCTTGTCTCTACATGCCCGGTAGTTTTCTGAGCTTCAGGTTTCACCTTACAGGTGAGGAATGATCTGTTTTTCTCCACTAGGTTGGGACTGTGATATGTTTGTGTTATGTTTTTTTAGACTGGGCGTACCCCTCCAGAGGTAGTTATCTCTTATTTCTGTGAATGTCTCTTCATTGTGTCAACAGAAAATGCGGCTGGATAAAGCCTCTCAGTTATTTGTTAATGGATACAGAGGTTATAGGTCAACGTCTGTGCTGCAAGGGTTGCAACATTTTTAAGTGTGCAAAACATCCACTTCCTTCAGTTGACTGAACTGAAAGAAATCTAACCTCATCCTGGTAAAAATTTCCTGCCTCTGACCGTCGTCTGTTAATCTCAAAACTGGCTGTGAAATTAGGTTCCTCCTGAAAATAAGAGGATCAATAAATAGCTCAGCAGGGTGTATGCTGCCATTCTGTGGATATTATTGATTTTATATGTCTATTCTTCACACAGTCAAACCATAATGTGAAGCTTTTTCCAACAGTATGGTAAGTGCACAACCCCCCCTGTCATTGGTGAAACATTTATCAGGCCAGTTTAGTTTCTTTTTACTTTAAATTAAAGATACAGAATCGATAATTTAACATATAAATGTCATCATATGGCTCTTTAAAATAAAACAGATTATAGATTCATTATTTGATTCATTATATAGAGTTAAGATGCTCTTGTAGATGTTAGCTTTAACCTGAAAATATATAGTTTCAGCCAACAAATACATTGAAAATATCAAATCTATGCAACTGAGGTTGATGCAAATGCAACAACAGTTTATTTTAGATCTTTAATTTATGTTCCCCAAATAAAAATATCAATACAACATTACAAATAAAAGTCCTGCTTTCAAAATCTTAATTGAGTAAAAGTACAGACGTATAATCAGCTAAATGTGCCTAAAGAATCAACAGTAAAAGTATTTGCTCTGCAGGCAAATAGACCCGAGATTGTTGTATTGATATAAATTAAATGATTAGATTATGATGCGTTAATGTGAAAGTAGCAATTTACTGACAAACACTGATAAGAACAGTTTTAAACTTGGCTTAATTTACATAACATCTGTGTGGACCTAAAACCAAACAGTAAACTCCCTCACCACCGACATGTCTGCACAGTGCGATGTTGCTGCAGTATATAACACAGCAGCAGCAGAACTGACGGGAAACAATGGACGATATAGATTCTCCACTAACCCACTGACCTGCATTGCAGAGACAGGTTTGAGACGTGCTGTGTATGTTCAAACAGGGATTAAAGCATCTGTGTTGTAGCCTTCAGCCATGCTGCCCTCTAGTGTCAACAGGCGGTCACGTCATCGGAGCCTTTTTGGTTCTCCTCACTGATATTATGATATATACAGATAGATATTATTAGATTATAATTGCTGATGCATTCATGTGTTCACTACTTTAATGTTGCAGCTGGAGCTAATTTTAATCATTTTATATTGCAGGATAACTTGTTGACTTATCTACCCATAATAAAACATCATAATTTATTTGTTGATTACATTATGTAGCTATTATTAATCTAAATATGCCAAGTAACTACCCACTAGTTAGTTAACAAATAAATAGTGGAGTAAAAAGTACTGTATTTACCCCTGATATATAGCTGAGTTGAAGTTTAAGTAGCATAAAATGGAAATACTCAAGGAAGGAACAAGTACTTTATAAAATTGTACTTACACTCCTAACTCCAAACTTTCACAGGACAAATTAACAGTGAACAGAAACATCAAGTTCACACGAGAGGATGTTTGAAACAATAGCTTGCCTCTTTTTCTGCACTGTGCCGTACACATTGAAGACGACAGGAGAGGGAACACACACACACACATGATGGTTAACCTGACTGAGCCATTGTGAAATCAGTAACAAGATCCAGGAAGAACAGGCAGCTAGCTTGACCCCCTCTCTGCCGGGAGAGGCAGCATCAGTGCAGACAAGTGGGGTCAGGAATGACAGGGCATAAATGACACAAAAATCCACTGTGATGTGCAGTATTTAGATTTATTGGAAACTTTGTGATCTCCCACTATTGTGATGTCTGATCACGCAATAGGGATTTCTAAAAAAGGAACAACAACTCAATTTTAATGTATGTGTGACCATGGGAAACAACAAGGAAAATGCCTTGTGTTTGGCCCCTTCCTGTTGATCCTCCATTGGGACGGGGAAATGAGAAAATGTTGATAAATTTTGATTAGAAAATGAGTTTAACGAAGGGTCGCCGTTGCCAGACAACTTGGTTGTAAATATTATTAAGCTACGTTGTATATATATATTCTACCACTGCTATATATAGCCAGTCCAACGGTTTTATTTTGAAGGCAAAATACTACATTTCCGGTAATATCCTCGTCCTCGCTCACCCATGCTAACTTGACTACCAGGTATATATGCATTATCCGGACCAAAGACGGTAGGAGCTGTTCCGGAGTGACAGCGGCCGTGTAACCGTTGACCTTCCTTCCTCTCACCGCAGTGGAAACATGGCTCTGAGCCGTTTGGAAAAGGCTCAGGTATGGCTCTTCAAGGCGGTCATGGGAGTCCTCTTCACGTTTTACCGGCTCTTCTCTCCTCGGAGACCCGCTCTGTCCGGGAAGAGGCTCCCGCCCGTCAACAACCCGCTGCTGGTCGTGTCAGCGACGCAGCTCGCCAGGAAGATCAGGCGAAAAGAGGTGTGTACCCGGTCAACTGACAACCGCGGCGTAACAGCCCATCAGACTGCGCTTCAGTTAATAAATAGCCACCTCTTACTTAAGTATTTCGAGTTAATGATTGTGTAGACTCACAAAAGTTACATACACAGTTAGCTGTTAGCTAGTCAGTAGATAGTAGCATTGTAGGAATTTCTTTTTGTCTTAACATCCCTGCAGCTTGTTTTTTTTTTAATTTACAAACCATGACAACCCAAACCAGCTGCACCTCTGGTCCACTCTGTAGGGATATTTTATTTTGTTTTCAAGTCTGCAAGCCCTGAGGGTGAGACTGTGACACCTGTGGATTAACAACACATCTATACTTCCTATATATACACACACCAAGCACTTTATTAGGAGCACCATGCAGTGTAGGGCTTCCCTTTGCTCTCAAAACAGATTCAGGTCTGGTGACTGGGGAGCCCACTGAAATACACTGAACTCATTGCCATGTTCACGAATCCAGTTTGACAAGACCTGCTCATTGTCAGCAACATTACTCAGATAGACTGTGGGCATTCAAGCCATGACTGATGGGTATTAAGGGTGCCGAAGCGTGCCAAGAAAAACAATCCCGACACCATTACACCAACAACACCAGCCTAGACTGTTGACATATGGCAGGTTGGGTCCATGACACCAAATTCTGACCCTACCATCTGCAGCCTCAGGAGAAATCCAGATTCATCTGACCAGGCTTCAACTGTCTGGTTCTGCTGAGTCTGTGCCCACTGCAGCTCATCTGCTTCAAGGTTCAATGTGTTGTCCGTACCTAGAGGCTTCTCTGCTCACCACAGTTGTAAAGAGTGGTCATCTGAGTTACTGTTGCCTCTCTGTCCGCACCTGTCTGTATGAACGTCCCGGGAGATCAGCAGTTTCAGAAATAGTCAAACCAGCCCGTCTGGCACCAACAACCATGTCATGATCAAAGTCACATTAACTGATCCTCCTGACCTGTATCTGCTGGATTTTACAGATTGCACTGCTGCCACATAATTGGCTGACTGGATAACTGCACGAATAAAGAGATGTAGAGTTGTTCCTGATTAAGTGCTGGTATATTATATATACACACTGCTTAAAGCGGACACTATATAAGCAGCTGCCATCAAACGCTGTAAGATCATGACTAAAATTTAATATTTGCAGGGCTGCAACGCATTGACGACCAATTAATTAATCCATTTTGATAGTCAATTGATTATTTAAGTAATTTTCAAGCAAAAATGCCAAACATTTGATGGTTTGAGGTTCTTAAAAGTTACAACTTGCTGCTTATAGTGCAGCTAAATGATAGTAAATTGACTATTTTTCACAGCTTTCTCATGTTTTATAGGACAAATGATTCATCGAGAAAATAATCAGCAGATTAATTGATAATCAAAATAATTGTCAGTTGCAATCCTAAATATTTGTTGTATGGCCATTGTATTGGATTGCAGTATATTGTACTGGTGCTGCTTTAATGCAGAGTTACAACTAGTTAATTAATCAATTAGTCAACAATTTTGATAATATATTATTTAGTCTCTTTTTTTAGGCATGAGGATTTCACCTGGGAAATAGTAATGGAGATTTTTTAAAATGTCTTCTTATGTCTTACATATTATGAACAGAATAATTAATACATTTGTTGGAAAAATATTAGGTAGGGCTGCAACTAATGATTATTTCATTATTGATTAATCATTCAATTAATTAATCATGAAGTATGAAATGTTGAAAAATTGGCAAAAATACCCATCTCACCTCTGCGGAGCTGAACACAACATCTTCAGATGTTTTGTTTTGTCCGATCAACCTCATATTTCAGTCTTTACACAAAGTTCAGGTTACTATGATATATGAGGAAGAAAAGCAGGAAATCCTCTCATGTGAGAGGATGGAATCACAGAATATTCCCTTTACTATTTGTGCTTGAAAAATTATGATTATCGAAATAGTTGCTGATTATTTTTCCGTCAATCGACTGATCGTTTCAGCTCTAATATTAAGCCAAAAGGACAATAACTGCTGCTGCTGTATGTCCACACCCGACATCAATACACATTTAGGCCTTTTAATGCACAATTACAACTTTTCCTTCTTTTGTTTGTTTTGTTGTCCTACTTCAGAAGTCACATACTGACACTGGTTTTTGAAGCTGAAACCTGTAACTGTGAGAAAATATTTGTTTCTTCTCCCCTTCCTCCTTTTCTAGGACAAACCTGATTCATGTTACATATGAAGAGGTGTACCGTCTGTTTCTTCCCAGTTCTGTCAGTTTGACTTGTTTGTCTGTTTTGTGTTTGTTCTGTGTTTGTTTTGTTTTGTGTGTGTGTGTGTGTGTGTGTGTGTGTGTGTGTGTGTGTGTGTGTGTGTGTGTGTGTGTGTGTGTGTAACTAACCCCAACACACACTTATGTAGTCTAAATGTTGTGCAGGTGTCAAGTGTGGAGGTGGTGCAGGCTTACATTGACAGGATCCAGGAAGTCAACCCCTTACTGAACGCTGTGATAAAAGACAGGCAAGAAAGAATCAGTCATCTTTATCTGAATAATCTTTTTAGTCTTTTTTTTTTTTTTAAAGCAAATATTTGGTGGTTCCAATTTTTCAAATGTGAGGATTTGATGCTTTTCTTTGTTGTACAGGTGTTGAACTGTTGTTCAGACAAAACAAGACAAGTTGGAATAAAATATTCTCTATTTTATGGACAAAACAATTGATAAATCAAGAAAATAATCTGCACATTAAATGTTAATGGAAATTAATTGCAGCCCTATTGTGCTCCCATTTCTAATTATTCCTCCTTGTGGGTGTTTGGAGCTAATTTATTATTTATTTCAATGCTGCCATTTTCCCTTTTAATTTTCTTCCTGCACAATATGTTGTGTCATCATCTGCCATGTTGGATACTGTCTTTGATACTGAAACTGAACTGAAACATAAAATCTGAAATTTGTTACTGAAAAGTATATTAATTATATAAAGAGTAATATCTGTCATGACACTTGAATTCTCTCTTTTATTTTGAACTTGATTTCTACCATATTTATAGTTTCCACTATGATGCATCGTCTGAAAACTTTTTAAATCAGGAATTACACAAATAGTTTACGTCTCTGTCTGTCCAGGTTTGCCGCTGCCCTCCAGGAGGCGGCCCAGGTTGATAAGCTGATAGAGGAGGAAACTGGAGGAGAGGAGGTACTGGAGGACCGACTGCCTTTACTGGGAGTCCCGCTCTCTGTCAAAGAGTCCTTTGCCCTCCAGGGTAACTTCCAGAAATCTAATCTCCTGTCAGCCACTTGAAACCAGGCTCTTTACTATGATTACATACATCAAATGACCAGTACCTGAGTCAACATTTGATACTGATAATATACCACATCCACCCACACCCACTTCTGGGAACATACAGCTACTTGGACAGTAAAACAATTGTTATTATTACACGTATGTAAGATTTTGAGGCAGCATTGTTAATCCTGTTGTGAAGGCCACTTTTAGTTACTGTTTGCACAAAGTATGAGAAGACAAAAAAGAAGAAGGAATAAAATACAAAAGTAAGAAGAAGAGTATTTCCCATACTTCAGTTGACCGGTTCCGTCTTGCAGGCATGCCCTACACCACAGGTGTGATCTCTAGGCGAGGAGTCGTGGCCACCGTCGACGCTCCACCGGTGGCCCTGCTGAAGAGAGCGGGCGCCATCCCGCTGGGCGTCACCAACACCAGCGAGCTGTGTATGTGGTGCGAGTCCCACAACCACCTGAACGGCATCACCAACAACCCGTACGACCTGGAGAGGATACCAGGAGGAAGCTCAGGTCAGCAACTGTCGGCTTAACTACTGAGCTATGAGGTGAAGGAGGGAATCACACACTGTTTTTTGACTTTAAATTCAGAGTTGAGAAGCATTAATTCAGAACAGCTTTATGTTGGAGTCGATCTCTATGTCTCCAGGAGTGGCCCTGGTTTAGCCTCATAATCATATTACAGTTCACTGCAGACACACAAACACAGGCTCTGGTTCTTTAAAGGGGAACTCCTCGATTTTTTTCCACATCAGAATGTGATTACAGATTTTATTTAGTATTTAATAGTTCTTTAATTCAGAATGTTTTGATCACTTACATGTTTGGTGAATTCACAAGAGTTATACTGTAGAAATAAATAAAAATACAGGCCCTTCTTCCTCATTACATTTATTTGGCAAATTGTTTTGTCCATAGCGTTAGCATAGATTTTCTGTAGGTGCATTTTTGGTGTCTAGGTAACACCAACTTTAAAGGAGCCATTTGTAAGTTTTGCTATTGCTACATAGCTAACATTAGCATTAACAGCTGTTTACTTACCTGTCTATCAGAACCGTTGTGAGTTCACATATACCCACATACATATACCCCCTTTAGGTCCCTTGTACTTATGTAATAAGTCCACTGATGTCTTCAGGTAGGGGGAGGGGTCAGTGAGTCAGGAACACTAGAAGAAAAGGGAACAGATCTTGTAGAATAGACGCTGTGCTCTGTCCAATAAACTATAATCAAACTATGGATAAAGCAGACCTGGTTGAAATCCACAGACTGATCTTCTCTGTCTCTGTTTATCTCCTCTTTTCCCTACTGGCCTCAGGTGGAGAGGGCAGTATACTGGGAGGAGCGGGTGCAGTCATTGGCATAGGCTCAGACATTGGCGGCAGCATCCGTATGCCCTGTTTCTTCAATGGAATATTTGGCCATAAAACCACTCCTGGTAAGAGAAACGTCACCTTAAACTTATATCCAGCATATCCTTACATAATGTGCTGTTGCAGGATCTATATTAAATAAGTACATGTTTATATTTGAAGCAAATAAAATAGGTATTTTAACAATAACAATGTGACACCGTACACTAACTGCTCAGCACCAACTGCAGACGGACACAGTTAGCAACAAGCAGCTAAGTGCAAGATATTTCCCTGAAGAGTTGGCAGAGACCAAACACAGAGCTACACAGAGAGTAAATGTTGGACATTTGTTCGTTAGAGAAACAGGAACACAACCTCCAAATGAATGATAATGTCACTCCATATCTGCTGGATGTGTAAATAAGCAAATGTTTCTCCTAAAAGGTGATTACATGTCAGTGTTGTGTTTGCAACTTGTTTCCAATGCCCCCAAGTGGCCAAACAAAAAGAGGTATTGCAGGTTTAAAGAACATATTTATACATCAGACTGTGCTGTACCTGTGACGTGTGTCTGCAGGTGTTGTGTCCTGTGAGAACCAGTACCCTCCCACCTCCGGCAGACAGGATGAGTACGTCAGCACTGGACCCATGTGCCGTTACGCTGAGGACATGCTGCCCATGCTCAAGATCATGGCGGGACCCAATGCTCACATGTAAGAGCTCTGCTGCTGGTGTCCCGACTGTCTTTCTGCAACACTACCTGACTTTACATTCAGATACGTTCATAGCTGATGCAGCGTACACACACTATGTTTGTACTAAGACATTGTCATTATGCCGCCAGACTTGCTGTGATAATCAAATTGTTGAGATGCAAATATGGCAGCTGTGAGGAGGCACATCCACAATGTTGCAGGTGTTTCCCTCACGCTGCTATCTCAATTCAAATTCTTATTTTTACATGACATGGATGTTATAATGGGCCTCATACAAGAACATATTTGTATTCTTATCCCAAGGTTTGTAAGACGGTGGTCTTTGTCGACTAATGTTCCTCTAATCTGCAGTATTTCCTAACACGTGTACACAGGTTGTCCTTAAATACGAAGGTTGACCTAAAAAAGCTGCGGTTCTTCACCATCCCTCATGATGGTGGCACGCCTCTGACATACCCCGTCAGCAAAGAGCTCATGGACATTCAGAAGAAGGTGTGTTGAATCTGTCCATCAAATAACTTGCAAAACATATCAGGAGGGTTATTTTTTTTCCTTTTTAAATAACTGAAATCCTCATGTGATGTTCTCCAGGTGGTGGAGCGTCTGGAGGCCGATCTCGGAGTAAAAGTCCAGGAAGTGCATTTGCCTGAGCTCCGCTATGGCTTCCAGATCTGGGACACCTACATGGGGCTTCCTGATAAGGAGGGCAAGGCAGGTCCACCTGACAACATTCTCCAGAGCAGTGTGTCCCTGCATGGCTGAACAGAGAATCTATTGGACGGCAGATAATGAGTGTTTTTCATCCGTTTTCCCGCTGGTGTAATGGAGAAAAACAGGAAAGACAGGAGGAAAAGAGGCATTAGTTACTTTACCGTTGCCAAGACTCTCCGTCTATTAACACGATTCACAGTGAAGGAAAGCAGGCCGAGCCGTAGTCACAGCACCTATTGTAGTCTGCTGCCTAGAAACGCTTTACTAATCTGTTTAGCTGCCAGGGCACAGCATACCACACACACACACACACACACACACACACACAGTCGTGTTTCCATCACTTCAGAGGACATTACATTGACTTTCATTTGTTCCGTGGAGACTTACACTAACCTTAAACCAAGTCTTCACCATCAAATTTAATAATTTACCTTACAGGGACTTAGTTTTTGTCCCTGGAGGAAGTCAAGTTCCCATAATGTGACTGAACAGATACGTGTCCTCACAAGTAGTAATACGATTACACACGTCTCTGAGGACGGCAGGGTCCTGGGTTAATCTAATAAATGAATATTACCCACGTTATTACTGAGGCCTGCTTGGTGGTGGCACACAACCACGAGGCAAGGATTCTAGTTTTAAATTAAAGCATGGTTTTGAGATAACACACTGATAGTACGGCAGAGTGCACTAACACAGGTTAGTGTCACCAGGGTGATAATGATCCCTCTACTGGTTGAGGAGTCTGGCGGCAATAGAAAACAACAACCACATGACCCTCTGCCTGTTGGTGAATGGGAACAGCACAGCACTGTGGCGGGTGAAAGATAATATACACACTCTGTGTCCTTTATGTGACCTTAGAAACAAAAACCATTTGTGTTTAACCTGTTTTCTTCCTTTAGCCTCCTCTGCCATTTGCTACGCTGATGGGGGAGCCAGGACGGCCAGTGTGGCCTCTGTGGGAGCTGCTGAAATGGATAATGGGGAAATCAGAGCATACCATGGCTGCTATTGGTAAGATTATTATGTAATTTTAGTATTAATCAATAAAGACATAATGATACAATATATATCAATTATTTAAAAGGAACAAATGAACCAACAGTTTGTGAAATAACTGATGAAATAATTAAAACCAAAGTCAGTATGATGAAATTTTGTTTTCCTGACAAATTAATCTCAACAAAATATGCATGATCAGTCATCCACAAAATAAACTTTAATAGTAAAATCAATCGTGTGTAATTATTTGTAATGAGAGCGAGGCTAGATGTATTAGCCCCTAAAGTCATCCTGTTGAAGCTGTACAAGTTTCCATAAACTGAACTGACCTGTGTGTGTGTGTGTGTGTGTGTGACGTCTTCAGGCCTGGCCCTGCTGGAGATGACTCATGTGTCCAGACCCTCGACCTTCATCATCGAGCAGAAGGAGAAGCTGCAGAAGACGGTGGACGAGCTGCTGGGCACCGATGGTGTTTTTCTTTACCCCCCGCACCCCAGAGTGGCACCCGAACACCACCACCCGCTCTTCAGACCATTCGACTTCGCTTACACCGGTCAGTATTCATCAAATCCTCATATTTCAATTTCACTGGACAGAATAATCCTAAAATGCCACCAGGAAGCTGTTAGAATGATCCAAACACATTGTGAAATTGTGAGTTTCCACTTACTAAACCATCTCATCCATTCCCTTCTATCTTCAGGTATAATCAACATCCTCGGGCTGCCGGTCACCCAGTGTCCCCTGGGTCTGAGTGAGGAGGGTCTGCCCCTGGGTGTGCAGGTTGTGGGTGGGAAGCTGCAGGACCATCTGACCCTGGCTGTGGCTCTCTACCTGGAGAAGACGTTCGGCGGCTGGAGGGACCCCGGAGCCAAGTAAAAACACATACTCCTAAAGCCATTACCAAATCTCCAGACTGGAGCCAGTTGGATCAAAGATTGTGGTACTCTATCTGCCTTGCTGCTTGCTGTAGTACACAATCACCCAGAGGTACGATCAGCTGGCTGAATGTTTAAGTGAAAGAGATTAATTTTTGTACCAATGAGGGATCAGCTGGTCCAATTAAATGTTTGTCATGATTTTATCATCTACCCTGTTCAGGGACCGTTATGTTATGAGCACAAGCTTTAAAAAAAAAAAAAAAAAAAAAAGATTGATTTTTATATTAGTGGAAATATCTTTAATCGAGCATTCACATTATCATGCAAAAACAAGGGTCTTGTGCTCTTCATGACTGGATATCTGAATTTAGACTGCTTTACCACACTGGCACCATATCAGACCTTTACAGTGTGTAGTGGAAAATGCCAGAGACTTACCTTTCAAACAACTTTTAAGTTTACACACTTTAGTTTTTACCGTTTTGTTTTGACCGGCAGCTGTACAGGTATGTATGTATGTTACTATTTTAACTCTCAAAAGGTTCCGTTTTTTAAAGCCCTGTGTGTACAAACATACACACAGAGGTTGTTTCTGTTCTGACTAATTAGACCTGCACTCAGCTTCAGGCTGGGTGTTGCTCTGCTGGGAGTTTGTTACCCCACTCCTGAAACATTAAACAATCATAAAAGGTGTAATTTTCTCCTGCGCCAACAGGCACAAGTAATCTAGAGAGGTGACAATCAGGTGTGAGGAGGTCCAATCCGCCAGACATGAAACACCTGTGTGGTTCTGTACTGTAAATGTGTAGGGTCTTTTAACTCATAACTAATACTAAGACTTTAGACAACAAATATTTTAACATCCTGACAAAAACATTGAAAAACTGCTGTTGCGTGATAATGTGAACGCTGTATAATGGCTATTAATTGATTGTGGTGCCTGTTTTATGCTGCAACTCATTTGTTTCAGCAAATTAAAAAAAATGAATCTTGAATCTTCTCCCTCATTTATACAACTCACATCCTCTAACCAAACATTTTTTTGCAGCAGGAGTGAGGTACGCTCCAGGTGAAAAAGGCTGTTAATCCTAATAACCAGTGTGCAAACGGCACCAAACCAGGAAGACAAACTGTATATACCAGAAACATTTCACCCTAAGTGTACAAAAAGAAAAACAAAATCAAAATAATATTGTTTAGAAAGAAACAGTTTAACATTTCAGCAAATACTTATTTACTTTCCATTAAGGCTTGATGTTGCTAAAAACCTGCTGCACTGTCTTACTACATGTTAATGCACAGGAAAGTAAGAAACCCTCGTTGATCAGCATGTGATCATTTCGAAATGGGGGAGGAAACGGTTACACCAAACACAAAAACCACAAATACAGGAAACTCCTGATGAAAAGTTCCCTTCAACAACAAAAAGCTCAGTCAGAAAAAAAAGATGAGAAACGTCCCGCTGGAGTCTGTTGTCATTTTATTTTCTTCCCTTCTTTTGAAAAAGGATGAAAAATTATTAAACATCTATCAGAAGGCTCCGAACAGAACTTGACAGCACTGAGAACTATTCAACGCGCATCTTTTTTTCTTTTTTTTTGGTCATCTCTATGATGACTGTCATTATTGTTCTGTTTTTCTTTTTCTTTCACAAACCATGATTCTGCTCTGAAAGGTAGAAGAATAAGCTGCAAACATCACATTCATACAGAAAAATACAGACGTTTCGTCTTTTCTTCTTTCTAGACACGTGACATGCTTGTACCTCGGAGTACAAAATGTTGAAAGGTGCCTGCCGTGAGAATAATTCCTCTGCTCAGACTCGTATAACACTCGCAGCCCTCCTGACCACAGCGTCATTCAGGAATCGGAGGCGACTTAAAAACAGAAACAATAAAAGGGTATGAGAAAAACAACCGAACAAAAAATACAGAAATATTCTTCAAAGAGTCCTGCAATTTGGCAGTGCAGGAAAAGGGAGGACCTTTCTCTCCTTGACGATCTCTCACCCTCCCAGTGCTTCATTTGGCCCAAATGTGTTTGCAAATACTTGTATGTGTGTAAACATGGTTTTTTTTGAAGTGGATAAGAAATTTTGGGTGTGTGATTTTGAGCTAGTGAAGCGCCTCAGGAGGTATTGGTGATGGGTTTGTATTTCTTGAGGCGGGTCCACTGTCCTGTGGAGTAGTTCATTTCGAAGACTGTGTCCACCAGCATGGTGGTGCTGCCGGTGCCGTCGGCTTTGGGCAAAACCTCTGTGTGTTCGCTCAGCTTGATCTGGATGATGTCCCCCTGCTCCGGGCACGGGTTCTCTGCCAGACGGGAGGAGGCAGACAAGTTATTGTTGGCTTTACCAGGTTTGTGTTTGGAAATAATCAGGTGCATTTACTGTAATTATATGACTGTGTGGTGCCTTCATCAGCAACTCTGTGGGACCACTCAGACAGACTGATGTGAAAACTAACAGTTGAATTTAGATTCCTGTATTTCCTAAGAGTTTTTCCAATCCTGTTTTCTGCTCTTAAAAATGTGACTGCTAGGAAACACCAAGTTATCATATTGACAAGATAAATGTGTTTGACGATGTGTGTCAGTCTCTCAGTAAGGGACTAACAATGTGTGAAAAATGAGATCAGACTTAGTAAGGCAGAAAATTGACACTAATTAGAAATGAGTGTCTGAATGACAACGCTGATCAGGCAGCTAGTGCGACTACTCCTGTACCTCTGGATCCAGCCATGAAGCCCAGGATCAGGGCCTTCTCTGGTCTGGTGACCTTGTTGGCCGTCTTGAACATCTCCTGAGCAGCGTACATCTGGTCCCTCTGAGGAGCAGAAACAGCACGGAGCACAGAGTTTAGATGACTGAGAAGAACATGGAGGGCTTGAATACATAGGTCTGAAAAGTTAAAGACTCGTTACTGTCCAGAAAATTTGAAGTTTCCCTCTTTTTTGAAGACATATACACCGGTTAAGACCATTAATACAGGGAATAATAAAGCACAGAAATCAATTCACAGATTCTTTAGTCTTAGGAGAAGTATATCTAACCAGATTTCTTTCAACCACCCAGGCTCTTGTTTTACACCTTACCGTGAGTGAGAGATTCTTTTTGGGCTGGGGCTGTGGTGGCGTAGGGGTTGGTGTCGGGGTGGGGGTTTGAGGTGTGCTGGGAGGCTGGGTGGGGGTCTCGGGCTGGCTGGCGGTCGCAGCGGCTGGGGGCCCGTTGCTGGCGGGGGTGGAGGCTGGCGTGCTGGGGGATGTGGGGGTTGCGGGGTTCGCTGTGGTGCTGGCGTTGTACATAGGCGTCCTCTGTTTGTACTGGCCCGGTAAAGTAGGGGTGGTGCCAGCGCCCGCTGTTGCCGACTCCTCTGGTTGTCGAGCCGACTGCAGCGTGTCCCGACCCGAACCACCAGCATTCGCTTTAGAGGAGGTTGATGAGGAGAAGAGATGGTGAGATAGATGCGATTGCTCACCTGATGCCAGCAGGGAATTGTTCTTTACCCCCTTGAACTAATAGTTTCATGAAAGCAAACAATAAAAGGCAGTGTGGTGTTTCCTAACCTGGTTGTGCCTCGGAGCTGGGAATGTAAGATGAAGAGGGAACCATGCTGGGTGTGGCTGGTAGGTAGCTGGTTGACGGCAGAGGATTCTCGTTCAGCGCCCCCAGTTTCTGAAAAACAAAACAGCATGTTTGAAAAATGTATTATGATAGAGACTGAAAGACAAGGGAGGGGGTACTGTGAGACAACACGGGAGAAATCAACAATATCTGGGTGATGTGACAAATAAACACACATGCAGAGGGGTAATGTACCTGTGCAGAGACGAGGCCAGCGGCGTAGTCTGGTGTGGTGTTTTCCACCACGGCTTCTTCTTTGGCTGCTTTCTCTCCGGCCTCTGTTTCTACAGCAGCAGAAAACATCATGTAAGCACTAATGTATTCACAGTGTAGCGTTAAAACTCGGACTGATAAATGGCTGGAAATATAATTACCCAAAGTCTTTCTTCTCCTCTTCGCTTCTCTTCCAGCTCCGACCATGTCTAGCTCTGAAATATCTAACAGCTGAACAAGAAAAAAGAAAAACGGTGAGAAAATTCTGACCTTGAACACACAGATCCTGCAGGAACTGGATGAAAACATGTAACAACATTGTGAAAGTGATAAGCAAAATGAAATTACAGCCAACATTTGTGATGCATAACATGATGCAGGACTTTAAATCACACATTACCTTCACCCCCCTCTCCTTACGCAGGGGCGTCCGTGCAGGGGCTATAGGTGTGCGGTTACTGGGAGGGCTGAACATACTGGGGGCAGTGGGGCTGCGGAATGGGGCCTTAGGGATCCCCTTGAGAGGAGCTGTGGTGCAAATATAAAATACATGTATCAGCAACACGGACAGAAATCAGAATAGAAAGTCTCTTGGCTCTCACGTGGAGTAAGTGATTCTTTCTTGTATCTATTTCGACTGCTAAAAGTTTAAGTTATGATTGTACTGTAAATTTTTTTTTTTTTACAAAAGTAACTTGAGACTTGGATTGCCAAAATGATAAAACTCTAATCATGAACTTGGAGTTTTTACTTTAAATCCCAAGTAAGCACTAAAGAAGTGTGTTTATTGGTCTTCAACTCACTAGTAGTGTCAATCTTTTTGACCAGTCCTCTCCCTTTGGCGTGAAAAGGCACTCCGGCTGTCTTTTTCAGCTGTTGGGCTGTCTCTGTGGCTGGAGGAGAAACGAATAAAGAAATGTAACCTCAACATTACAAGACAGAGGGAAAGCCTAAACCACCCTGGCAAAATTACTGCAACTGTAAACACAAATAAATAATGAACAAATACAAACATTTCTTAAAAAAAAGGACAGAAAAGTGGCTTGCATTGTTTTAAGTAACCTACATTTCTGTAGCAGCTCTGCTCTGAGGGTGGCACTCTTCGGCTTCCTTTTCAGCTGGAAATGTTTGACGGGGGGTGTAAGGGGCCCAACCAGAGTTGTTAGCGCACTCTTGTTCAGGTACTGGCACTCCAGAGGAAGCATGGCAGATGCCTCGCACTCGCTCACTGAGGAAGAGAAGACAGACAGATGTGAAGGTCAGCCGGGACTTTACTACAGAAATGACTGAATTATAATCCATGGGCTAATGTGGTTGGTTGCAAATCATTTTCTATATATTGACTCATTTTCAGTAGTAGCGCATTTTCATGGATATTCAAGGGGATAAATAAAGTCTGTCTTTCAACAAGCAATCCATCAGTGTTGAACCATCTGTCCTAATACATATTACATTGCTCCAGTGTGTACAACAGACACATAGCCGGGAGTGTGGATAAATATTTCCAGTTTAAATCCTCTCTACAAATGTTTTCTTGGCCTTTACTCATCTTGACATGTTTACCATCAAGGGAATAGAGCACATTTTCTATAATTGTGTTATAACAAGTGGTAGTGATCGAGACAGGAGTTTCCCACACTCATCCGCTAAACTATGTTTGTCTACACCATGAGCCACTTAGTTGGTTAACCAACCACCATTTGGAGGTACTTTTACCAAAACTGCAGTACAACTACTACTGCATAATTGCATTTATTAGATGGGGTGTAAATTGTTAAAATACATACCTATTCCCACCTTACACATGAGCCTAAATTGTTCAACTGTATTCATTAAAAAAAGTTTCATAAAACTGCAGGGGACAAACTGACATGATGAGTTATTGTGGTTTGCAATACTGGTACTTTTCCAAACAGTGTGAACACATTATGCAGAGATTTAAATTCATATGAGCCTAAATGCAATTAAGGAACAGTTCTAATTTGACAATTTAAATGCATAGGCAACTCTGTGATTAATATATTTTATTCCTTTTCAAGCAACAGGCTCAGTAATATGGCCAGATGGTGTGTCATTATATTTACATTTTTGAACATAAGGGTTCAGGTGGCAGTCTATAGGGGCCACTATAGCTAAATCAATATAAAAGGAAACAGTGACACATCCCCTACCTTTCTCCCTGAGCTCTCCAAGAATATCCTGCACATTTGGATTCTGCTCCTCCAAGTCCAGATTTAGAGAGCCTGTCTCTGGGAAGGACTTGAGGATATCTGCAACCATCAGCACCCAGGGTTCTGAGTCCACCGTGGCCAGTTGGATTATCTCTGACAGGGCCTCCTTCATCTGGCAAGAGAGGATGGTGGTGTTAAACAATTTTACGTAACAAAAGATAACATGTATAATACTGCCTGAGAAATATACAAAACTTATTACAGTTGAATAACTTATTATGGTTAGAAAAGCTTTTTTTTTTACTAATAATTACAGGTGTAAGCATCTTCATCTATTTTCATCTAAAATTGAGATTATGTAACAGGGTGTATGAAGCATCTGTAACCCTCTAACACTGTTTATTTTCATAAACAAAACAAATAATAAACAAATAAACTTTGCTATTAAGGATATCCATGCAATTTCCACGAAAAGCAGTAGGACTTTTTCTTGTAATGGAGTACGTTTATGTCGAGGCACAACCAACTGTGCTTCAATAAAACACCAGCAGTACTTCCACCTAAGAAGTCCTTGGTTCGGATACTTCTGCAGAGGTAGCTCATTTGTCTGAATATGTGTGAATATGCAGGACACAGTGATGACGAGTGTCAAACGTTTTAGGCAGCGAAACAGATGATATGTCGGACTGAAACTGGTACCGCCCTCCAGCTCAGTCACTCAGCTCGCTTGTGCCCATCCCACCATCATGTCTGGACGAGACCCGCCAGGCTAATGTTTCCCGTCGTCGCTGGTAAACCACTGCGGGAAAACACTCTCATGTACAAGGGACAACTTATTCGTGACGCTGCTTAACGTTAACGTAAATTAAAAAAAAAAAAAAAAAGTCTTGAAACTGAGGGAAAAAAACAACTTCGGGATAAATAGTTTGCCGCTTCTTACGTTGGCTAACGATATTAATAGTGAAAGAGAACAAGCTAACGCTAACTATATAGATTTAATTGCGTGGTTAGACGTTTCACAAGCAAATTAAAAACACCCGCAGGAAGAGCAGTGACTTGACTTCAGGGAAGCTGACCGAGACTGAGCTCTTGTTTTACCTGTGTGTCTGTGTTAATCGCTTCCCTTACCTGTCAGGCTAACACCAAGCTAACGCGCAGCAACCCACCTCGTCAACGGTCCGCCTGGGGAGGTGCAGCATCCCGAGCAGCAGTTTCAGCTTCACCGGCGGCGACAAGCTCGAAAAGCAAAGTCGTATGTTGTCGATTACAGACACGGTGAGGAGAGAGGCGATGCTAGGAGGCGTCCAGAGCTCGTCCGTGGAGCCCAGTTTGTTGTGAAGCCACAGGCCGGTGTCGCTGTCCTTCATCGACGCCATCTTGGAAAAAGAAGTGTTTTGAGTTCGGGCATTTTAACGGGCTACCTAAGAAAACAGCAGTCAGGACCCCGCCCACACCGAGCAGGGGGGCATTCATATCCATTGAACCATGAAACATCTGTAAGAAATACAAAACAGCTGTACTTCAAATTTAAATAAAGTTTAATACTATGGCTGTATCTGGTTTGATCAGGTTTATTTGTCCTTATGTTGTATGAATTGTTTTGTTAATAAAGTTAAAAGAAAAAAGGTCAGTTTCACTTGAAACATGGTATAAGTGTGTATGGGTAATAGGTATTATTTCATTTTTACCAATTCTTTTAAAATTAAAGTAATTAATTTACTAATTAAGTAATTTAAATGCTGGATTAGAAACTTGGGCTTGGGGCACAAGATTCAAGGTGCTGGCTGTGGTAATGTTATCAGTTGGTTTACAAGGGGAATGTGCACTACTAAAGTAAATATCAATGTCATGATGGTGGGTGACCTTTATTAGGTTCAGCGTAGTTTTTGACATCTCAAAACATTCCTACAAAAAAGTGGAAAGGATGAACATATTAGCACGTAGGCAGCATTATGAAAGCAAAAAAAAGGCAATTTCATTTTGATAATTTATTAATCATCATTTTACTACTTTTCAAAGCAAAAAAGGCAGGATTTCCTGCTTATCTTTTTCATGTGTAAAAGTAAACTGAAAACCTTTAGTTTTGATCATCTGAAACAAATGACTATTTATTAATGAGTTATAAATAAGCCTTATTGTAACTCATTAATAAATGGTGATTTGTTTCATACTTTACAATAAGGCTCCTTTTGCCAATTATAAATGGTAGTAACTATTTAGTAAGATTAATGAGTAGTACCATTAACTTGATCATGCGATCAATAGTGAGCCTGCATCAATGTATGAAAACTGTGTTATAACTTGTTTATAATTGTTTGTTTATGATTTATAAAGTGGTAACAACCAAATTAATAACCTCATTATAAACCATTTATAAATCCTTTGTAAGGGTAGTGTTATTGTAAAGTGGTACGGTTGAGGCTTTTATTTTGAATGTTGTCACCGGAAGTCTTCATTCTGGTCCCTAAAGCAAATTTTCGGTGACCATGCGCATGCGCAGTATCTAAACCTACATAAAACAATCCTAGGTGGGCATCTTGCGCTGATTGTGAAGAATATCATCGACTGATTGACGGTAGGTTCACGTACAGTTTGTTAAATAAACATTATTGCTTCTCCGTTGACTGTATTATTATTTTTTTAAAGAACACAAATATCTACCGATGAAACCTGGACTATTTTTCTAAACAAAGACTGCAAGGTTCGGTCGTTTCATTGACTCACGGCCGTGAATGATTTTTTCCCCAATGTTTTATCTATGCAAACCACACACCTGCTGATCTTAGTCTTCACATTAAAGGTCACTGATCGGACCATCACCATGGCATCCAGCGGATATCTGCAGGCAGCGGTGCTCCTTCTGGCGGTCCAGCTCCTCTGTGTCGGTGCAGCTGCTGCGGATCAGGAGCCCGGGACTGTCATCCCTGCCGAAAGTAGGTGGATTTAAATATGAGATTTAGGTTTTCCTGCCTGTTCGGGGCAGGTTTTCAAACGGTTGTCAGGTGTAATTCGGTGCACAACAGTGATGTTTATACACAGTCTAATTATAGCAGGTCCCTACAGGGCTTTCTTAGTGGGGATTATAGGTCATCTTAATTGGTGTATAAATCATGAACTCTACATGAAACTGGGCCTGCACTGCTCGGCTGAGCCACAATTTATCATCTGTACTAAGCGGAAAGCAACAGAAAGGTTTGAAGGAAAAAACCTGTAATTTGGTTTGCAGAAAGTGGAGCTTGATTTTAGCTTTCTCCACAGTTATATGTGCTACATGGAAAAGCTTCTGAAATAATATTTACACCGAGATGTAAAAGCCAATTGAATAAAATAGGGCTACAACTAATGATTATTTTCATTATAGATTAACCTTTCCTTGTGGCCGTCTTTAAGTTTACTGAATGACAAGGCAATTTTGAAATGAGGTCCAATTGCAAAAAAAAAATAAAAAATATCAAAAGGATATTTACATTCTACCAGGAAAACAACCAGAATATGAATCATTGCATTTCTGAACTATTTCCTCTTATTTCCAGGTCGCCCATGTGTGGACTGTCATGCATTTGAGTTCATGCAGAGGGCACTGCAAGATCTAAAGAAGACTGCTTTCAACCTTGATGCCAGGGTAGGTGAAGTCCTGCTCTCCTGGATGGTTTTGTGCCCTGTATTATTTCCTTTTTCTGTGATTTGTGTGTCAGAAATGATTCAACTCCCAATGCAATCAAAGTGTTAAATACAGCTATAATTTCTACAGGTCATCTAAATGTGAAAGTTGAGATAAACAGAGAGTGGCTAACACACCATATATCGACCAGTTCAAATCTTTGAAATCAGGTGGATTTTCGTAAGAAATAGCTAATTAAGACCAACTAAAGCTGTTGTGTTGAGGAGTTAGTCTCAAACTTATCTTTATGAAAACCTATGTTATAAACATTATGTTAGAAATAAAACAACTTCATGTCTTACCTCTTTTAAAAGATCAAAGTTCCTGAAACAACACCGATCATATATTTAAACAAAACATTAAATTAGTATATTGTTTATTGCTGTACAGATTTTAAAGCCTTCAAACATGATTCTGGGCTATATAAATAAAATTTACTTGACTTTAACTCTATTTATCAATAGAAATTAACACTATACCTTTTTTGAGTTGACACAGGGTATCATGCTTCATTTTTGCTGAAAATCTGTTTTAATTTGGAAACAAAAATCCCTCTCCTGTATTTTATCTGTGTTCGATAAACACAAGCCTCCTTCTTTTTATGGGGAACTTCATCATCATTACTGGCTTTACTTTTGTGAGGTTTTATTGCATCTCTATTGGGTATGCTTTTATTATCTGCAGGAAAGATTGGAAACAGATCTAATTCAGACTCAATAAACCATGTTAACTGCTCACAAATGAACTGGCCGTTCTCAAGATGAGATAAAACTGTTCATTTTGATTTGAGAACCTGTTCCCCTTCTCGAGTGTTTGAAAAACGGGGCGACTTCAGCTGCCGTTTAATGCAGTAACATTTGTATGTGGACCGTTGCAGACAGAGACGCTGGTGCTGAGAGCAGAGAGGAGGGCTCTGTGTGACTGTATGCCTACCAACTCACTGCGCTGAGATCTCACGAGTCCACCAGAGGACACGTCCACCTGCCGTCACACCCCCCCCTGACAACACGCTGAAAACAACCCTGTCCCACTCTCCTCATGTACAGCGATTCTCATCTTAACTTATTCACACGATAGGCACTTTATTTTATTTTCTGTCACACCACCGTTGAGTGAAGCTTTGATTTCATATCGTGCATCGTAAGGCATGTTATTGTTCTGCCTTATTCAGGACGACTGATGTTTTACATTGTGAAACACATGCCTGTTGAGGTAGTTTGTCGCCATTGTTATAGGATTTTGTTCAGCTCTCATCCGTCTCCTATGAAACAAACTATTTTTTGTACTTTTTAGTATTTGACTGTATAATATAGATACAGCAGAATGCATTGATAAATTCATTTGTTGAATGTGTTGTACGAGATTAATGTTTACGACGATTATACACATCAAACTGTAGCATCACGTGGAATTTATTTAACTGCTCAAAATATTTCGATAATGCTAATTTCAATATTTCGATAATATTTTAGTTAATGAAATTTAGGAATCAGCAAAATGACTGTAATTAATTCAAATTAATTGATTTGCAGGCTGGCTTCTTTTGCAAAAATGGTTGGGTAACTTATTAAAAACTGTTATTTTTATTTGTAATAATGATTTTTTTTTGTAAAGAAAAATAGTCAGCAGAAAGAAAAATGAAATTTTACAAACAATATTTTCAGACTTTTCTTTGTTTTGGCAAAAAAAAAAAAAAAAAACCTTCTTGTAGGTCTTGATTTAGCACAGCACTGTAGCATGAATTCACAGCACTTTCTGTTAACCTACTGTTAATATAGATTGTATGTATATATTATGTATGTACACGGGTACATGTAACAAAGGTGTCAACAGATTTGTCCTCTCTGTTTGACAAAGGTGTGTGGAAGAGTAGTAACGGACTATATAGTATCAGATGAACTGCGATATCAGCAGACTAATAGAGGAATGCTAACTGCAGCAGGGGACATAGACATAGAAAGAAATAATTGTCTTATCGTTGATTGTTCATGAACATTGTCCTTTGTTGACATTACGTCACAGGAAGACCCATTTATTGTCTTAATGTTGTACCTCAATAAAAACAATGAATGATCTTGATTGCTTTTACTGTTTAGTCTGACTGTGTCTGTTCTCACACATCTTCAGTGTGGGCTGTGATAAAGAAGCACTGTGTGGGCTTGTGCTGGCATTAATATGGACACATCCATTAATTTATTTATTGTGGTAACTGCAGGGTCTCACAGTTTGTAGGTGAAGCGCTGCTATTTCTGTGTAACAAATATTGTTTCAGTTTCTACAAAGCTTCTTTTCTAGGGTTGCAACTATCATTTTGTTTTCATCACTGATTAATTAAAGTCTTGATTCACCAATTAATTGTTTGGCTACGGCGAAAAACCAAAGATCTTAAGTTTAGCAGACTAAGAAAACCAGTGAGCGTTCACATTTGAGAAGCAAAGAGTTGTCACTTGAGAAACTCTCGAGCTCTGTTCACGTACATATTTCCAGTGTTCAAGTTGTAGATAAAAACGAAGCAATTTTGTTTCTCCACTGATCAACAGACCTGTCTTCCTGCTGTGTTTACTACTGAGTCAATCAGTTGACTGAGAGAAAATTAATCACCACCAATTTTGATAACCGATCAATCCGATTTAAGGCAAAAACAAAACAAAAATACTCTGTTTATGGCTTCTCAAATATGTGGATTTGCTGCTGTTGTCTATTTGAGTAATTGCAAGTGGAAAATCTTTGAGTTTTGAACATTGGAAGATGTCACCTTGAGCTCTGATCGAATGGTGATGGGTATTTTTCACTCTTTCTTTGACATTTTAAACTATACTTCCAAAAAGCACATTTGACAGAAGAATCA